CAGATGGCAGGATAAAGGGTGAACCTGTAGGAGGCAAAGTACCATGAAGATCTGATCGTGAAAATTAGATAGGGTATGTAACAGTTTCTATACGCATTTTCTCATAAAATTTTTTTTTTCTTTTAATGTAGTTCAAATATAGTATTTATACATGTATATTTAGTCTGCTTTCCAAAGTTCGTTTATAAAATCACCATTCTGGTGTGAAACTTTATGCTTATAAATTTTTCCATATTTTCTTAGGATAAATTCTCAGAAGCAAGATATTTTTGGAGCTTTCACACGCTCATAATGTTTGATAGTATTCATCTCATTATACTCTTTAGGGATGATTAATTTTTATTTTAAATAAATGTTTTTTCCTCATTTCTTTGACAAGTAATATTATATTATTTTGTTTTTTATTGTGAAAATTTTCAAACATACAAGCCACACTTGCTTCATTTATCCCTGTTTTCTCAAGAATTTTCAGACTAATCCAAGATCTCATGTCATTTCACCCTTGGCATAACCTCAGTATATAATTCTTAAAAAAGTGATGTTTTCTGCCTTACATAACCTTAATGCAATTATCATCCCTAATGAATTTTACAGTAATTTCTTGGTACACTGGATTGTTTCATTGTCATTATATTGAGTACTTGTGAGAGTGCACATTTTCACCTTAATGGTGATACTATCTCTAACTTGTTTATTTCTATATTTTACACTTTTTGTTTATTACTCTTTTTTTTTTAGTCAAATTTTATGGACTTTATGAAATAAAAACATTTATTTATCAATTTTTTCAGAGGGTGCTTTTACTTTTTAATTTGGGGTACCATCTTTTTTTTTTTTTTTTTTTTTTTTTTAAANTCTTTAATATTGATGTTTTACTGTGTCTGTAGTCAGCTCCTTTTTGGTTGTTATTATTTCTAATTTTAGAAAATTAACTGGCCTCTAAATTTCATAGACATTTAATTCTGTTTTTTTAAAAAACTTCTGTAATTTGTCTTATAGCTTTTAAATTCCTTTAAAATTTTTCTTCAATAAGGTATAAATTGAAAGTCCAAATCAAATCTCAAACATCTTATTTTAGTACTATTTATTCAACAGCTATATTTCATTATTGTTTTACTTGCCTCCTTGGTGATAGGTTAAGTTGTGATTTATGTTTGTATTTCAGGGTCTTTTTTTTCTGTTTCTTTGATCCATCTATCCGCTGTGCCTACAGATATAGATATGCCTAGCACACAGTTGATATATTTTACTAGAAAATATCACAGATACATGAAAGCAATAAAATTTAGGTGTACTTTTAAACAATTACGAAATCAATTCTCATGAAACCATCACCCAGGTCAAGAAAT